TAGGAAAAAAGCAATAATTCGTTAACTTACAATGTTTTCCCATACATAAGATATAATCCGAATAATTTGATAGCATAAATTCGAACATGTTCATCTTCTGAAGTGAGTAATTTGAATACACAATGAATTCCATTGGTACGAACAAATACTTGACCACATGTACTAGGAAATTCAATTAACGTACTGACTAATAAATAGACTACATCGTGAATATTTTCTGGCTAAATTAAAATTATAGGCATAAATAAGGTGTATATTAATTGAAGCTAGATGAAAAAGTATGTATTCATTAACAATTTTTAAATGAGTATGTTTTGATGTAATAAATAAAAATATACATACATAGATTTTCAAGACGTTTGAGTCAACTGGAATTGATAGTGAGAATTTCATTAGTTACAGTCATACCTAAGAAACGTAATTTTAAGAAAGAACTTATAGTTGTAAAGCCAAGAGAATAAATGAGCCAGACTAATAGTACGACAGTGTTAATGAAGGTAATTAAGTAATGTTAGCGGTCTGATTGGCTAATTCCTATCCAATCAGCTCCTGCTCGATACTTGGAGAGCATTCTCGAAAATTCTCGTGCTGTTAGCTGCACGCTGATAGGCTAAATCTAATCCGGTCACTGCTAGTCGATACGTGGAGTACATTCCAGAAGCTTCTCATGTAGAAACTATAAAGATACTGACGTTGTTCCTATTTCGCCTTCGCTTCGACTTCTCACTTCCATTTAACCTTGCTATTTAGAATATAGTCTTTTCCTGTTCCACCGTGTTCTGATTTGGGGATTTGTTGAGTGTATTGTTGTCAGAGAATACTAAGCAACAGGAATAGCTAGGTTTATTAAGAGAGATTTATCTCATATAAGGAAGTGATTCTTCTAAATCCTAATCTGATACACCGCCAAGAGCATCATCACAACAATCCAGATGTAGAGGATTTTCTTTCACTAATAACAGTTGACAATTGATAGTTGAAAAAACATTATCATCTGACGTCACTGTATATTTAGGAGGTGCAGTATATGTAAAATTATTTATTTATGTAGCCTGAACTTGGAAGAACCACATCCCCATTCTTTAAATTTTAATAAAGCATTAATATTCGGAGGAATCCTCGGTGAAAACGTCGAAAAAAAAGACTTCTTATACAGCCTCCCCCTGGATGACGACTATGATGAAAGGTTTGATATAATAAGTTAAATAATTCTCGATCTACTTAAGATCTTGTTCCGTTTATATTTTATCATAAGAAACAACAAAGTTTTGAGGTGGTAATCTAAAACCATTGACAATGACCATCAATGCATCAGAGTTCACATTTCTGTTTAGCCTTCGAGGTGAACACATTCAATATAACTAGTCTTGTACTAGACACTTTATTTTCACCACCCAACGAATAAACACGTAGTAGATGTAGAATTCAGTATAAGCAATACAAAACTCTACTATGCAAACACTAAATAATAAAACATTTTGAAACAGTTTAATTAGCTAAAGTATTGCTAAACTAATCTAAATTTTAAATGATAAAATAAAGTGGCAGTACTTTGAAAGAAATTAAACTTAGCTAATGCCTGTACTAAAGTTTAGGTTGTTATATATTCAGATATGAAGCTACACACTATCATAAATCTATCTTCATAACAAAACAAATTACTTTTTATTGTTACACATGAATACAAACTTGTAACAAATTCTTAACTCAAATCTTACTGATATAAATGCATGTAATCTCAAGTCAAAATCTGAATTGTTGAAAATGTAAATTGAATTATAAACTAAACTGATAAACAGTCATTAATATCTGTGGATTATGTTCTCTGTACAGTACAATCAAAATAATAATATTCATTGTAGGGTTGAGGAAATTGTTGAGTTTCTTTGAAATCAAGAATCGATCAATGTTAGACTACCATTAGAAACTTGGATGCATTGGATGGTCGTTTCGTCCTAGTATAAGAAACATCGTCATTACGCATCCACTAACCCTGTTGGTGTGAATCGAACCCAGAACCTTCGGTCACGCGTACAAACACTTAATCTTTGGACCAGTGAGCAGGTATCCAACGGAGTTAATGTCTAACTTCGATCAACCCACGCCCTTGTAAAACATAATAATAATAATATTTAGCGAGATAAAAAAAAGACTGATAAGTTCGTCAATCGATATGCTTTAACTATTACGAGTTCACCTTAGCCCGTAAACGAGAGCTAAGACAAGTGATCCAGTGAGACGATAGGCAACTCTAATCTGAGTGTCCCAAAGACCTGCTAACGGTATCAACAAGTCTTGATATGGAGTATAAAGTGTATTCACTAAGCACCTGAAAAATCGAGGTCAACAAGTATACAAATTGAGTTTATTTATGCGTCGTAGAAGCGTCGTCGGGAGAGCCACAAAACAACACATCAACCAATGACAGTTAAGGATTTCCCTGGTGGGAAGTGTAATCTCAAGGTCAACTGATCAGCCAATGCGCGAAAGCATGAGATCCAAAATTAGAACTTTTATCAAATGAGTTCTGGAGATCTACATCCCAAACATGGACTATATTACTTATTCTGATGAAACAATAAATATTCATAATAGGCTTTTACAAATAAAGAATAATTTTTAAAAAAAAGAAAACACTGATTACTTCTTAAAAATAAAAATCAACAAAAATGACTATACAAAACATGTAATATTACCTCTTGAACTGTAGTTAAAAAGGCTAAAATTAATTGCATCTCATTATCCATAATTCCACCACGTGTAAATAAACGTTTCAAATAAATCAATAAATTTGTACGAAGTTTAACCAACTTTTCAACTGGACCAATTATTTCATGATCTAATAAGAACAATTACAAAACAATGTAACCAATCGACAATGAAGATGTCCAAAATAAAGTAATCACATGAAAGAGATATAATTACATATCAAACTAATAAAATTTAGAAGATTCATATTTTCATATAATAAACTAGGAATTGAATTAGTCACATGGCATGACATACAAGTGTCATAGTAAGATCTGATATCAGGGCAAACTTGACATAAAATAAATAACTTTATTGATAAATATATAAAAAATTAAGTGATTTCTTAATGAAAAGCATGAATGTCTTTGTCATATATGAAAGCTAATCACAATGATAATAATATGTTAATTACAGTATTCAGAATACATTCAAATACCAAAATGAAAGTGTCTATCTATATCAAGGCATACATGAGAGAAGTAATCATTGTTTTTTTTAAAAAATAAGGTACATAATGCCATAATATAATTGCATTATCTTTTAAGTAGTTCGCCTCAAAACATAAAATCTAAATTTTGTTAATTATTAACAACAACGTTCACGACCGAAGACATTTGTATTCATCATTGATGCCAAGTAGTGAAATCTTTCATTACACACAAATAAGTAATGCTCTATTTAATTAAAACACATAAAATACTTCCTTTTAAAATCTTATATACACCTTTCGACAGATTCTAGTAAAAGAAATAAGATCAGTCAGTCAGTCAGTCAGATGCAACGTAGAACTTTGTACATAAGTACATCAGTTCATGTTGCCATACCACATCAGCACAGAGAAGTAATCGTCAATTCAAATCCAATAGTAGAAGAGGTAGTAAGGGAATTAGAAGTAATCGGAGAGGTTAGGATTAGAAGATACTATTCAAGAAGTATGATTCAGTGAGAAAAGTTTAGAGTCGAAACTAGAGGGGTTGAAGAATCCAGAAGATTAGCATTTGAGAGAACACAAAGAATAAATGCACCGGCGCCATTGCAAACGATTTTGAGCCATGTCATTCAAGGTCTCTAACCATCGATTATTATCATCTCGCGGACCCCAACCAGGTAGTCGACAACTACCGACATGACTCGGTCCACTTGTCAGTGACTTCATGGATTTGTGCCATGTTTTTGTCTGGCCGCCCCTAGCTTTCTTCCAACCTATTCCTACACTACAAAACAAAGCTCTTCGAGGCAGTCGGTGGTTGGGCATACGCAACACATGTCCCAACCACCTCAACTGGTGAAGTTTCAATACTTCATCGATTGATCTGCCATTCTTGCCTAGCACCCGATTCCTAATAACAGCGTTGCTCACTCGGGTGTCCCACGATATACGAGCAATGCTTCGAAGACACCTATGATCGAAAACCAGTAACCGACGAGTATCTTCTACTCTCATTGGCCATGTTTCACAGCCATAAAGTAAGACGGAGCGAACCACTGCGCAGTACACTCGTCCTTTAGTCAGCAAACGGATATCTCGCCTACGCCATAAGTGACGCAGGTTGGCAAAAGCCAATCGATAATAATGGTTGGAAGTTATTGTATTTCTTGACTAGATGATATTTTCTACCAAATAAGACCAAAAAATGAGTTCTCGATGCCAATGCTAGTTTACTGAACAATATTTTATGACTGTTTTCTTAAACATACTCATGCATTCTATGCATTTCATTCAAAACAAAAACATTGAACATTGAACATGTTCAATAATCAAGATGTTAATAAGCATGCTGTAATGTTTATCTTGAAAGGTAAGAGTTAAATCATTCTATTACTACAACATTATTATATAAGCAGCTATTATCTTATATAGTTAACAATCTCATGCATGATTCATAATACAATAATGCATGCAATAATAGCTATACTTACGCAACCTGCATACAACTGGTACAATAGGCTTCAATTAAGAAATGTAGTAAAATATTATGGCTACAATTATCTAATCACTACTACTAAAGAATACACGCAGTATAATATCAATTAAAGTCAGTGTTTTTTTTAGGCAAAACTAGTCAATAACTAGCAGTGGAATCCAGGACTCATGTTTTGTGTTATTTGAAATTCATCATATGGATGCTCCTGCATCCCAACGTTGATGTTCAACGCTAGGACTCAAAAACAGTGCGTTTAACTTCAAATGTCTAACGTGTTATTCACTTAGCAACTGATTCCAGATAGGTGTTGACTTGAGAAACAGAGATGAAATTAATAATGTTTGTAGGTGTTCTGACTATACGACTTTTATTAAGTTAACAAATTTGATTGATCAGTCAAAAAATGAACTTGTAACAGGAATTCCAAGAATAAAAATAAGTCGAAACTGATTGTGCAAACATCCATGTCATCAAATATTACCGTAACTTGAAGATTGTACTAAGCATTCTTTCGATAGTCGGTAAATAAAGTGTTTTTTTCCTTGTATATGCCTTATCCTCTTTCTTAAAAATATGAAGATTTGTCATACATAACAACAACAAATCAAGAAACATAAAGAATACGGAATTACACAAATCAAACAGAAATAATCAAACTAGACACATGATAACATTGGATTTTAAATCGTAAATTATAATCAAGAGTAAATACGTATGTAGGAGAGTTCAATACACTGATGAGGGTATGATACAGAATTACTCACTGTTATTGATTCACTAAACTTTTCGTGTGGAATATAGCAGTAAGCTAAAAGTTCACATACAGTATTCAATATTAACTGTAATTATTTGTTAGATTGAATTAACTTAAGCATTTAAGGCTATTAGTTTATTATCTCAATTAATATTTCATATTTTGTTACAGCTTTGATTTGGATACGTGTAACGGAGTCAAAATCACTATGTAGATGTTGCTAACCCATCCTGTTTTCTTTCTATTTCAGGGCGATCAAACACTAACGCTTTGGAAGCTGAAGAACAAGCCCTGAATGCTCTGAGCTTAAAGGAGGACTCATAAGACCTTGGCACACCGCCCACACTATTTCTGTAGAAACCCCGCGTGTTTAATTTTAAAAATAAAGATTGCCTTGGCGACGACTTCGTGTTCTCTCTCTTGGTGTAAAGTGTTGAGATAACTCTGTGTGTTGCGATTTTAGATCGGACCCGCTGTTCGGTGGCTACTGTAAACGCGTGTTACATATGTAATGGGAATCAATTAATTCTAAGAGCTACATAATTGTCTACGTTAACTTTTAATGCCAAATCCCTAAAATATAAATGAATAGTTTTAAGAGTTACTTGTAATACACATTCTTTTAGTAATGTTGAAGATTTTTTAAACAATCGATTCAGAGAAAGAATTATTTTTTTAATGAATTCATGATTAAAGTTGACTAATTTTATACATTTCAATATTTACCTGGTGTACAAAGTTCATAGCCACTTCGTGCACGAGGATTTGCCAATGCTAAATAGTATTTTAATGTATTTAAACAATGAATTATAGTACCAATTCGTTCAATATAACCCAAATCAACAACTTCCATAAAATCAGTTGCTAAAAATTGATATAATTGTTCTTGAACCTATAAATATATAGAAAGAATAGAAGACAGAAACGTTAGCTAATTGAAGATGACCATCCATTATAAATAATAACTGAACTAATTAGTATTATCATATAGAAATGATTGACAAACGTGAATAAGTACTGCGTTAAATAAGAATCAGTTTTAAACCAATCACCTTTTTTACAATTAGTATTTTCATAATATACAAGTGTTAAACTAGTAAAGATGATTGGTAGCTGGTAATGTTAAGGTATTTGGCTGAAATTCATTGACAGTACTATTTTTACTTAAACTTTATTATTTGAAAATAATTTTCATCTTATTATGTTAAGTTGACAGGATAATATAGAAATGAAAAGAAGCTTAAAAGCTTTATAAATGTTTAGAAAATATCTGATTAGCTCATCACTAGAATGCATTTAACTGCAAACATTTATAATGTATCTTTTAGTGTTTTAATTAATTCATTTTAACCTGAAAGAGAAAAAAACTACTGATCAACACATTTATAATGTCTAATCATTTGTATTGCTTAACAGTATCTACTCTTGAGTAGTGAACATCTTACATTTCTTACATATTTGGATAATGCTTAATTAGATTATATAATGCAATTATGAAATCATATTAGTTAATTAGTTAACTACAATGTAGAACTTCATACGTACATACATCAGATCAAATTCCCATAATGGTATTAGCACAAAGAGATGAAATTATCAATTCAAATCCTATAGTAATAGAGGTAGTGTAGTGAAGGAGAACACAGGTGAGGTCAACCGAATCGTATTTATCACAAATTACAGAGTTACTCAGTGAAATAGGAAAACCATATCGTAAACGGTTAATTTGCAAATCTTCAATCAATCATCAATCCATTGTCTGACATTTCACTATTCATGCGTTTCATACAAATTCCATTGTGTTCGCACTATTCCTTTCTTGAACTTCTCTCATCTTCTGCTGCCAGACATTACGCGTTCACTCGCGTCATATACTACTTATAAGTAGCGCGCACCACACTAGTAGAAGCATTAGCGATAAGGAAGAAGATTTTGGTTCAAAAATATGATATGAGAAATATCATCCAGTGAGGTAAGTTTAAAAAGAGAAAAAACGGTCATCATCAAGTTTAGAAGATTAGAATTTGTGAAAACACAAAGAATGGGTGCATCTGCACTACTGCAAACAATTTTGAGCCATTTGATTCAACGTTTCTAACCCTAAAAAAAATCATATATCCTTCAGTAAATTAATTCATACATAATAATAAAATTGATTTTTACATCAAAATTTCTGTTTGTTTTATGGAAAGTTTGATTCATGTTATCTATTTAACGGAAAAATGGTATTATAATTTCACCAAAACAGATTTTACAAATCAATTTCTAAAATCTTGACCATTATTCAGATAATACAAAGATAATTTTTTTTGTAAATAATAAACAAGAAAGGTACACTTTGTTTTTGAATTGATTTCATTCAATGAATGCCAAAAAAAAAGAAACTTAAGAAAAGGAAAATCCTACAGAGCATCACAGAAACTGTATATGTATATATACACGGAAAAGCTGTTAACATGGTAACGAGAAAGTAAATTTTTTAATAATCTTATTATTTATTCAAAGTAAAAGAATAATAATAATAATATACCAGAAAAAAAAATACTATAAATATGATTCAAACAAAATCTACAACTTACATCTAATGCAGCTTTACACCATAGTTCTGAATTACTCAACACATAACCATACATTTGTTTGATAAGTATTATGAAAATATTCACATTTGATGATGTTAAATTACTACTAGTACTAGTACTACTACTACTAGTAGTAGTAGTAGTATTGTGAATAATGAATTCATCATGTGTAGTAGTAGTTGATTTAATTGTTTTAATTAAATATAACATAAAATTGATAAATTCATTTAATAAATTCTTTGTTAAATGTTTCATGTTTGATTGATTTAATGCATTGGAAATAATAAGTAAACCTTTAGTTGTAACAAATTGATTTCTTAATGTTGATGATATACGAACTAGACCAAATATAAAACGTATTAGAATTGTTCTGTAGAATAAGAGAAAAATAAGAAGAAAGAGAGAAAAGGTTATGCAAATTTTAAAAAGAGAAATTAAATGTACTTGATGTTCGAGAATGAGAACTTTCCATTGAAATTCTTTCTTTCATATGATTTGTACATAGGAATTAGGTCACAGTAAGTGTACACAAAATCTGAGAGACATATTTCAACAATCTTGGTTGATAATATCCTTCACCTCATCATTCGACTTGCCATCTCTACATAGTGCAGTATGCTTAAAACCTTAATATTACTGATTCTGTTTCGGTATATACAAAGAATGCTTCACACATGTTTATTATCGAATACTTGAAATATTCACACATCAATGACCTTCAAAAATCATATTTTACAGCCATACAGTTATACAAAGTGAACTATTACATAAGTATGATGAGATTGCTTGCAAAAAAATATGACAAATTTATGTTGACTTTCAACAATTTGCATTACGGGATTGTGAAGATTGTTAAGTTACACATTTTTGAAACCATGAATCGATCAATGTTAGACCACCATTAGAAACCTGGAAGCACTGGACGGCCGTTTCGTCCTGGTATGGGACTCATCAGCAGTGCGCATCCACGACTCCTGCACCCCGCAGGATTCGAACCGTGAATTTGATCAAGTTAGACATTAACACCGTTAGATACCGGCTCAGTGGTCTATCGGTTATTTCAACAATTTGTATAAAATTACAGAATTATTTCTCACTTTTAGACTGAAAATATAAAGCAAAGTGTCACACTATTTCTGAATCATAATGGATTAAACTAAACTTATTTATTATATAAACAAAATTATATCTGCTAATTAAGATCTACATGTGAATATAGGGATAGAATTTTGACTTCTATCGAATTGATAATATGAAAATGCGTCAAAATGAAAAACTATCCACATAGTGAGATAATCTTTGAAGTAAAAAGGTAAACAAAAAACCTCAGGGACATGAATCACTTTTGTAAATTACACTTTACACTGAAGCTAGTTTGTAAGAGCTGATTTAACCGGAATTAATAGAAAGAGATCGAAAATTTATCGCTTTATTGTACTACATTATAAAGAGAAGCTTAGTCCCGTATTACAAAGCGATTCAAACAAGTTTTAGGATCGATAAATGAATAGAAACTGGCAACTTGACGCTATAAACATTAAACAATACCTAAATCTTCCAAAATAAAACGGTACAGAAACATTAAATATATCTAGATTATTGAAAGAGATGTTTGAAACACAAACTAAACATTACTTACGGCATTTCAGGTGTAGAAAGTTGAAGATTAGCAAAAGATGGATGAAGAGCGAGGATTTCCAGTACATCTGATTGATTTTCAAAAGCAACAGATTTTTCAATAGGCCAGTCTAAACGACTGAATAGTGGATACAACAATTGCATACCACCAAGTTGAATAAGTAAATCTGACACTGAAATGTTTATTACTGTAGAAACATTCTGAATAAGAAGATGGAAAAATGAGAAGAAAAGTGTTTCTAAAAGAAGAAATCTTCAGAAAATTATTTGTCAGTTTTGAACCTATAATTATTTACACCTTATTATGTGCTGCAGAGGTAACAGATTGGTTGACATGAACATACTGGATGATCAGTAAGTAGTAAATAAGTTTATTAAAAATAAACAGTTATTTAGCTTAAATGAATTTATAACGAATTATTTCATTATCGGAGAACTGACTCAATGGATACATATTCGATATTATATTAATCATTTTTATTCTGATTAAATTAAGTACAATAAGAACAAAATGTATACTAATCTAAGATTACAATGCGATAATGACATTCATATTAAGATGAAAACTCTCCAAAAGGTGGAAGTAACAGTATGTAGTCTAATTACTCTAAACCTAGCTGTAAAATAGTAGTTCATTTTGACTTTGAAAGACTACGCCGTGTTTGATATGGTATACAGAACTTAGGGGTTGTATTTTTGTCAGTAACGTCATTTTAGGGACCATAATAAAAGGTATGTATACGAAGACCAGGAATGAACGACAGTTTCCAGAGAACAGGATAAACACTGAAGAATATCGATGCAATTATAAAGAATAGAAGTATATTATACTGAGAGCGCTGACTAAGACCTTAAGAAATAAAATAACGCGTAGTAAGTATATTTTCGCACGACAATTAAAATGCAGTGCTAGATAACTTGTATGTTATGAGTAGTAAAATAAAAAGTTGGCAATACTTCGTTTCCAAAACTGCTGGGAATTTCAATAAAAATGTCTAATATGCAACTAAACAGTGAATATGGTATAGTTCTCCTGATGCAGGTTGTATGTTAAAGTACTTGGTATGATTCAGTTGCAAGACCAAAGGTGTTTGTGTTGCCATACAGTATTCTCGCACTCCAAATGATTAGAATTCTCAACCTTAAGATTTTTATGTTTGTAAAAAACAGCATTACTGCATGTAAACTGATATCAATTAATAAATGTGCTCAAACTTAATTCGTAATCCTAACACAAAACTATTGTTCGATTCCTGTTATCTAAGTCTAATCTTTTACACTATAGCTGATGTCAGTTGTTGAGGAAAAAATCCATTAGTGTTATAACATTAACTCTCAATAACTTTCCAATATGCAAACTTAACCTTTTTATCTTACAATAGTGAATCATTTTACATGTAAAGGATTATTTATCATAACAAAAATCACTATTCCACCGTTGCATTTTTTTCCTTTAATGTTGTTTCTTGACTAAAATGTGATTGGTCGATAAGTTTTTCAAGGTCGTAAGTACACTTTGACCTAAGAACCTCGCCCACGTGACTATTTAATAACATGCGCAGTTAGCTCATAAAGAGAAAACAAAATACATATTATACTTATATGGAATACAAGGTAATGTAAATACATGGTTTAAAGAGAAAGAATATGACAATATGAAACGGATGTATCGAGCTAATAATTAAAACATAAATCACAAAGAATAGTATGATCATGATATAAAATAAAAAAAATATCCTTACCCCATTCATAAAAGCGTGAAAAGATGTCTGGTTTGGCTGATGAGAATTCACAGCTTGATTAAGGCATAACCGACCATCACAAGAAAGAGGGGAATATGCAAATACAAGTGAGTTGTACAGCTTGTTAAGGTCACTAATCGTTTCGGTTTGTTTAGAAGAAGATTCATTACAGACATCAGCTTCAAAACGGAGATGACCCTAAGAAATAAATTTATGACATTAAAATATGCCAAAATAAGATCTGGTGTAAGTAGCGATATTACAGACAACATAACAGAGAAAATACCAGTAGTAGTTTAGATTATGAGACTACTTTTGTTCACTTTAGTATTTATCTAGGTGTGTACAATGAGTATCTGCAGTTATTTAATTTAATGATTACATATGCATAATACAGTGTTCGATAAATATGCCATAGATAGAAAAATACTTGAAGTAATGAGCTAAATTATTTCCTTTTAAATCACATCTCTCAAAAGGAAGAAAATAAGACATCAAATCGAAGAGGGGAATTTAATTTAATTTAAGAGTTAGCAGGATAATTAAGATTTAGATAAGTTATAAATATACTTCCAGCAAAGTGAACAAATTTAAACATCGTTATATGATATTGAAACATTGATGACCATATTAAGGACGACCTTTATTATTCTACAATATTAGGACAGATGATAAATGATATTTTGGTTTCCTATACCGTTTTGATGCAACCATCAACAACTTTCTCCTGACCTGATTATAACCCAGATATCACCAGAATGTACAAACAAGCACGTGAACTCCATGATTTAGATAGATGAGCCGGTGAATGATCAGATTTCACTTACAGAATTACCTCGTCAAAATCTATAACTATCCAAAAAAAATCATTGTTTCATCAGCTTCATCATATACTACCACTACCGATAACACGTTTACTCATTCACAAGTATATTTACAACTGGTATAGACCTGTAGTGAATACAGTTTTATGAAGAGAACGCGATTAATTTAATAGAAACATTCATTATTATAATCAGTTGTACCAGTGATTGTTTAACTGTATTTTTTGTCGATTACACTTTGTACGCGCAAACTTTCCGTTTGTGTTGCTGTCATTTTGACCCGCTGTCGCTGTAATTTCGCCCCACTTTTCTGGTACGATTTAGGTATTCCTACGATATCACGAAATGGCCAGTAAATATATACTTTACTATGGAATAACTATTCTTCTCAGTGACGGGTTCGTAATCATAGTCAATTTCAACTCGATCGCCACTACAGACCAAATGTCATACCTTTTAAGTCATGTAGAGAAAATAAGAAGTTATACTCTGACCAGCTACAAAAATTACACAAGTGTTTCTGAAACTAGTAAGATTTTTCATTTAGTTATGTTTTGTTCACAAGACATTGGTAGAATTCAACATATGAGATTCGAAATTAATGCGTTCAAATACAGTCATGCAGTTAACCAAAAAAGAGCAAAATTAGCTTAATCATAACTATCATCTGAGATTATAATAAAAGCAAACAGACATCCATATACTGTGCAGACAAGAACTAAGTCTGTTTCCAAAATTTGTTCGCAAGTTTGTGAGTGTATGAACAACATGAATAACCATAGTTATGAAAGTTAAAATAGAATCATAAATATGATATGTTGTCGGCCTAATCATGATGAGGTATACCAGTTTCAAACACTAGCATGAAATTTAACTCTCTCTCTCTTTCTCTCCCTATATGTATATATATATACTCAACTTGGCTGTAGGAAACGTTCAGGTGGTATAGCAATAATTACAATGTTCGGAGTATTTGAAAGTATTCGATTAAATAGGATTCAGATTAGTGGATTTTCTAACAAGAAACTGAAAGTGATCGCCAGTAAATAACTAAATGACTGCTTACTGGAAAATCAAGGGGGTGAGCAAGTAGTGAATTCAAAATAGTACATAGTTAAACATTTTAGCATAAACATACTTGGTATTTTGGACCTAATGAATAAATATAATTGATTTGTTCAGGTGTAAGAGCCTCTACAAATCCCATTATGCTAGATATATGGCCATGAAAACCATCTCCATTTTTAGAGTCACTAGACTGACCAATTAAACATGTTCTAAAAACCTGGAAAAATACGTTCATTATGAAAAAAAAATACTTTTAATAATTGTATAAATTTCTGTCAGCTTGCACTTAAAAAGCAATCTGGTTACAATTCAGAAATGAAAAAGGAAAATGGGATTTATATCATATATATATACATAATTACGAATGAATACATCACATTAAGGTTTCGATAAAATTTGAAACCTTGTTAGTTCAAAGTAAATATTCCGTTCGGCATTATTAAAACACTCATTGATTTTGTTATAAAAGTTTTGTTTTGAATGATAAATTGATGGAGAGGTACATAGTCATGTCCTTACAGATTACGCAACAAAATTATCTGGAATGTTTTTCAAAACATCACATTTTCCACTTTCATATTACCCATAAAAGCACTGATGATTTTTTCTTGAGTTACGTAGGAAGAAAACTAGGTTAGTTGGGGTCTTAAAGACCTAAAAACATGAACGTTGACCTAAACGAACTACCAATTAAAACCGGTTAAACACTTTTTAAGAATAGGTTCTGTCATATCACCTTTTATACCTTATCGATATCAACGTAAGTCCATGGAGAAAGATGACGAATTTCGGTTTAGATGTTGAACATTTTAGACTTTCAATTCTGATTTCAGAAAGCAGGATTAGTAATAAACAACTAACTGATATGAAACGTAATTGCAGTTATAAATTAGGATTCAATCATTAAACTTAAGTCATACAGGGTTCGTCGTATTTTTGCTCCATAAACTAGCTTGAAATAGTGAACTTTCAAGTTTTTCAACCGATGAAGCTCAAGAGGTTTGCCATAACTGACAGCAATGACTACTAAACCCAGGAATCAACCTCAACAATGCTTTGTAAACTGGTGGTTTATACTAACTAAAACTAGATAGCAAACGAGTCAACATTTTTTCTGCAAAAGTCTGAATAGCTACCTAGAAATACAGATCGAATTATTCGTCAATCCTTTTCACATGCTAAGCTTAAAACATATGAATAATTTTTTATCCCTGAGAAACACCTAAAAGCGGTAGAATGTCTAAAACTAAGAGAACTCAACAGAATTATATAAAAGTAGGTGGTAACATCTCATATTCCGTAAAAAAATTTATCTGTGCAACCAAAAAAATCAACTGATAATTATTGTAATTTGATATCAACTATTTGTAGGACGAACCCACATTTCAATCACTTGAAGTACAAGCCCTTAAATTAAAAATTAGCAACGCATATCCTGCATAGTGAAAGGACATTGACAAAAGATAATCATTCTTTATCACAAGAACAACAAAGTGTTACGAAGACTTTCATTTTCAAACCTGAAAACAAGTATCCAAACTGTTTACGGAGCACAGAAAATGTTCCTAGACATTATGCACTGTAACGGAGTATCGTCAGAAATGGAATAATAATTCAGTGAAAAACTATTTAACGTTCTCATCGAAAAAAACAATGATAAGAGCTTCCTAATCATGCTATTTACAGCCGTGAAAGCACTTTAATGGAGGTGTGAGGATAAACAAACATTATAAAGACAATTAAATATCTTTTTCAAACCGTGTTATTAAAAAAGTATCAAATGGAAGTCAACAACTGACTACACAATAAACAATATTTAGATGAAAAGGATTCAATCATACCTCACTGGCATTTAAATGCCACGTAGTGTCGACACTCGACACCAAAGTACCATTAACGTAACAAATAATATTACTCCCGCTCCAGCGCATAGAAGAATGAACAATTGTAAGCATAAACCACTGAAACGAGAGAATGATTACCAAAATAAGTTGACAAACCTCATGAAGGCAGAAGGAGAAATTGATCGGAAATTCATCGACCTTCTTTTTATCACGACTAACGGATAAGAATAGAACCTCATTAACAAAATAAGCTGAGAATCCTAACCGGTCATTTGTTTGAAAGCTTGAAATTAATAGTTATAATACAAATTAGTTACTAACCTACCAATATAAATGCATTTTATCCTTGGTTATGAAAGGTTTTCTGTACATCCAACAGTGAAACGTCCAACCATTGTGGCTTGGCCACTTATCCGTGGGTGGTAATGAAATATTCTGAAATAACTATTAGGATACATGTTACATACAGAAAACTCATCGCCCGGAAAATCAAAGTAGAAATTGGGTATTGAAGCACAAGGGAGTGTATGCAAGACCGAGAAAAAACCAGCTGAAAAAGACGGCTTAAAGTTTTAGAAAAATGATGAATAGTGGAAAGTACCCAAGTATCTGAGGAGTGATAGATACGATGTAACAGTGAAGCCACAACACTTGCAGATATGTGTGACGAGAGTATCTCTTGAAGCAGTTTGCTCAGAGACATACGGTTTAAACATCCTGACTCTTCACAAAGCCGCACGAAGTCAGCAACTTTGAGAAAAAAATTGGTTTGGTCTTTGCTAACTGCCGGCTCCTGAAAAATTATTAAATACTAAGTTGAGCATACGCTATAGGATGAGGCAGATGTAGGTGCGACTTCGCGGCTTTCACATTTTAAATTCCATTTCCGCAAATGTATACGGAAAGCTTCAAGAATCTGTGAAACTGTGACAACACTATCATCCATCTATTGAAAACGTAATATAATAATTACATTAGAATCGTGAAAGACTTACGCTTTCCAGATAAAACTTCAAAACGATGATTTTTGATAAAAATTTATTCCAAAAACAAGTGCACTGAATTATGTATCATGTTTCCAAGTATTATTTCTGGAATTAAAAGATTAAGTATTTATTCGTGGCGGTATGTAACGCATAAGTCAAAAAGCACACATGTAAATGACAGCTTATGTGGTACATTTAAAAAAATTATGAATGAGTATATTGTCTCGAAGCATCGCGTCTCATAGCATCCGTTTTGTTCGGCATTTGTATTTAATTGTCAGTATAATATTTTATTTTAACAGATCGAGTCTGTTGACCCAATGTTAACGTAACTTCATAGTGTTGAAGAAGCATCCATTATGTAATCCTGTCCAAGCATTCCAGTATCCAATATCTTTTTCACGAGCTAGTTTTAATCAGTTGATTTCCTTGCGCTCGATTCTCGTTCTTTTGGTACGGTTCCAGGTCTTCGGTAGTGTCCAATGGATGGAGGTCTAGCTACTCGACTGTCTACTTCTAGTCAGTTGGCAGTTGGTTGTGAGTTTGTATGTCTCGGGAATTGAATGAAAATGTTTGTTTGAGGGCATTAGGGTTTCTTGTTACGAGCAGCTATCACATTACCAGACCAAAGATCATTTAGTTGCAATATGGGAAATAATAAGGATAAAATTCTAATGCTAATATGAATAAAATTTCAGAACTGAGTAATATATAGATGAATTTATTTTGCTGATTGGTAGTAAAGATTGTGAAAGAGGACCATAGGGTAAGCAGTGTTGAGGAAACAGAGACGAGAGGCGAGATAGATTAAGTAGGTGATCTGATGAGATGGCAATGATAACAACTAGCAGGTTTCAAGATATGCATGACGAACAGCTTGTCCAAGAGGGAGATGATAGTCCGTATATGAGTCTTTTCTCAAAGCTGACTACTGAGCGGCTGTGGTCACCTCGGCTGGGAGAGCATTCTAAGTTGCGATGACTCGCAAAGAGGAGAAGTGTACACGAATCTGAGTATTCGCTCTTTGATGTGCAATCTTTCGAGGAGTGCCTCAAGGGGAATGGTGGTGATGCATCGATAAAATGCTCGCGTTAGGATAGTTTGGAATGCTTAATATGTTGTACGCCATAATCAGGTCACCTCTGATTCTCCTGCAGCTCGGTGGAAATAATCCCAAGTGCTAGAGTCTATCGTCTTAGGGTTTATTTTTCAACCATATCACCCATTTGGTTGCTCGTCTCTGCACTCGATCCAAGAGATTTATGTCTCTTCTAAGCAGAGGGGGTGCGATGACATCGTGAACCTCCAGGTGTGGGCGCGCGTAGGTCTCAAATAGTGTCAAAAATAATTGCGGGGTTAAAGCACCAAGTTGTCTTCGCAAAAAGTGAAGAGTCGTATTTGCCTTGGCTGCGTCCCCTACATAGTTCGGACTCGTGTGGAATCTTTCTGTTATTATTAAAAAGAGATCGCGCTCTGAGAGACATTAGAGAGCGGACTTCCATTGTTGATGCAAACCGTTTGTGTCTTGTGCGACAGAATATAAATGACGCGGCACTTCTGTTGATCCAGTTTTAAACGGTTTTTCACTGCGCATTTCTCAATAGATGTAAGGTCATTTTGAATCTCAGTCGAATCCTCTTCGCCTCTAATGGACCTACAGATCTTTGCATCGTCTGCGTAGATCAGTGCTGGTTAGCTAACTGCTCCTAACAGGTCGTTAATAAATATCAGGAAGAGAAGTGGGCCTAAGATTGTCCCCTGTGAAACTCCCGATGTGGATACTCGCCAGCTCGCGTGCACTCTATTTACCATGGTACGAAACTTTCTATTCTCAAGGTAGTTTCTGAGCCAAGATAGGAGTGGGTCGATGAAGCCCATTTTCGATTAGTCCTGAATAGGGTTCTGTGTCAGAGGCTTTTGCAAAGTTGAGAAATATTACGGGCACTGTTATTTTTCGTTCTAAGCAGTTCCGTGCTATGAGAAGATTAAATGCATACGACCTGCCTTTCGGAAACCCGTTTTGAGCTTCATGTAGTATTTTATTCTTATTCATGTACTCCGTCTTTTGTTCGTCCAACAGCCGTTCCATAACCACCGATAGTATTGGTAGTAATGCGACTGGTCTGTAGCAGGCTGGGTCCTTACTGTCTCCTCTTTTGTAGATTGGAGAGAGTAGCTTGTTTCCATTCAGCTGGGAGTTGGTGTAACTCCAGTGCTTTCTCGTAGTCAAATTGATGTACAGTAGTAATGTATACTCATCCGGTTCCATAATTACATATAGTTTAGCATGTTACTTGGTTGGTACACGATCGGTCTATACGGAATGCAACCAGTTGATCTGGACGTCAGGCGTCTACTGAATCTTCCGTTTTGTTCAACAAAACTGTGTTGAAGACTTTTCCTGGTATAGAGAGGAGAGAGATGCACTGTAATTTTACCGCTTGCTAATATCATGTATTTCTCGTATCTTGACGAGATGCTCTTCTTTGCAGCCTGGTAATACCTATTCTGCTTCCCAAACCATGGAGAAGAGAGTGTGGAACATCTTTCTAGCTACTGCTATGTCTCCTTCCGATTCCTCAGCTCGAGTGTTGTCCGTTCCTTCTGCTTTGCTATTTTTAGTGTGTCTGATGGTCAGGCTTCTTTATTCAATTGTTAGACGGTCTGTGGACGCTTCGATGTCCACTACAAATTTGGCGTTTAGGTCTCTTCACAGTATGTTCAAGATTTTTGGTTGGTATTTCTCAACGAATGATTGCAGCCCCACACAGTATTTATTTTGATGTGTTCATTGTTACGGTTGTTAGGAACATAGCAATGGAAGAATTTGTAATGCCCTCTTTCTTTGTTCATAAGGATGCTTTAATGAATCTGGGTCCATGAGATTCACAAAAAATCAGTGAATTTCGGGCTTGTTGTTATTAGTGGTCGAGTCGAGACTGACTATTATCACTGCTAAATACTTATTACGAATAAATCCACGGCTGAGAATATATTTGCTGGCGATTTCGTGAAGTCAATAGAACACCGAAATCCAACCAGAAAAGATGGGCGAATTCACAGAGCTCGAAGTGCGAAAAATGGCAGCAACACAAACAGAAAGTTTGCGCGTGAAGAGAATTATAAACAAAAAGTACAGCTAAGCAATCACTGGTAAAATCGGTTATAAAATAAATGTTTCTATTAAACCAATCGTGCTCTCTTTATAAAAGTGGTTTCACTACAGTCGCATCAGTGCAAACTCCCTGTATGTGTTACAACATTCTCTTCTCCACTCCTGGATTTAGTCTGTTTTGTCTAACCTGCTTCCGATGTGTTTCGCTAATTACAAGTACCACCGGGTTGCATATTTTCATCTCCGCGGAAAACTGGGTGGTTCTTTCGGTCTTTCACAATGTATGAACAGACTGTGTACCTAAAATAATCGTCGCTCTGGTTATCAGAACGGATTTCCATCATGAGGGTTTATGACTGTTCTAAATGAAGATCCTACAACTTTCAGGGCAAAGTTTGAATATTTTTAATTATATTCTCTGGCTAGCGTTTTTTCAGCCAGTTTATTTTCTATGGGCTGGAGTAGCTCACCTCCTCGTTTATAAGGGCTTGCGACAGTCAGTATCCATAGAAGTATTTTGATGGAGTTAAAAACAATATAGTTTTTACATCCAGCTCAAAATTAGTCGAAGTAGGTGTGCCAAAATCATTGGCATTTGCTAATTAGTATCCGAATACTGTTTTGTTTACGCTCGTAAATAAATTTCGATTTTCTAAATCGGTAGTGACATTCCATTTTCTGTTATTTGTCCGTACTTCTTGATCTATTCAAATAACGTCATGCACAATAAAAGGAGCGACATCGCTTATCATTTTGCTGTTGGTATCCGAATACTTAGCGTAGATCATGCTCATTTCCCTCACTGTTTCAAACACTATTTATATGCTGAAAAATTGGCGAAAGCACTTCAACTTCCAGATCAACCGCAACAAGTAAATATAATGGTCGTCAAACAATTTTTTGCACAAATTTTATTCATAATACACTGGAAACCCTACCCTCTGTATTCGACTGTAGGCTAAACAAATACAGCGTTAACTCAAACAGGTGAGTAAAGTGGGACGTGGCACTAAGCATGCTGGACATACTTATGACGCTTGTCTTATAACACAGTGTAGGAGATATCAACATTATCCTGAACAGCCAGCAAGGCGAACTCTATTAAAAGGACTTAAAATCTCTTATAACCAAACAAGGTAATAATTCATGGAGAAAACGTTGAAGATCAAACCATAGTCGATGGCAGAGGCATGGAGTAATTTGAAGATTTTTGCTGGTTTGAGTCGGCTTCTTATTCGAATAGAACACCGGTATAAGCTCTGAAGAGCAATTAAACAACTCATTCCGATTCAAGCAGTAATCGGAATGTAGTGAAACGTACAAATTCACCGGATTGCCAAAACGACATCTTCAAACGTGCCATCTAAAACATATGCAAATCATCTCTAAATGTGAATCCAAAGTTCAGTCGATACACAAAACGTCTCAGCTCAAAGCAGTGTGAACACAACGGAAAACGTATGTCATTCTAACTGAAGGAAGGAAAAGCCATACATTGCTATGTGTTACAGAGGCTTCACGAGTTCGGTTTAAGGGGGAGTCACATTATCGGGATACAAATGCACGAAATATTTAAGAGCACACAAATTCCTCAGTAGTTTTGAAACAAAATGACTTAAATAATCCAGTTGTAGATATTTTGACTGATATTTAATTAGATTTAGTTAGCGAATAGACATATGATGTTGATTGATTCGTTATAGGTATGATTGTAGTCAACGAGAACACAGGTGGGGCAACCGAATTGTATTTAACGAAAAATATCGTAAATCGTTAATTTGCAAAATATCAGTTCATCATATCGAACTGGACTGTTCCTGTTGCAAAACATCAATCCATTGTCACTATTCATGCGTTTCATACGAATTCCATTGTGTTCTAACTCTTCCTTTCTTGATCTTCCCCCATCTTCTGCTGCCAGACATTACGTTTTCACTCGCGTCATATACTACTTATAGGTAGCTCACACCACACTATGAGCCAAGTTTTTCTCTCAGGATATTTAGCATAGCATTAGGTTATA